TGCCAAACGGTTGCGCCGCTAATATTTTGTGAAATTTTTGGTAAAAAAAGTTCGACCTATCCGCGAGTAATAATTCCACAACATGTTGGATTTGTAGAGAACCGTGTCGGCGATGAGTATGTAAAACACTCGTGAGTTAAGATTTTCCTGCTAGCCGGCCCAACTCCATGAGAAAGTTGGAGTTTAATTAAGTCCAAAGAAGGCAAAGAAAAACAAACACAAGACCGATAAATATACGTAAACAAATATATGTATTAATAACAAGAAAGGTTACAAGTGACATGGACAGTTACATGGACAGAGTGTGTGTGGTGAATATTATATGTGTGTGTGTTGTGGTGAGTGATCGTACGTACGTGTATTGTCCTTAGCGTTTTCCCAGCATTTGGGAAACGCTGTATCTGTGAGCGTTCACATCTGCGAGGTGGTATAAGCCTGAAAGCCTGAGGCAAAAAGAGAGATTTACCTCAAGCTGGCGGCCCAAATGCCTGAGGGAAAAAGAGGAAGAGGCGAAGGGTCAGCGAGTATTTATAGCCAGGGAAGAGAGACCCCTGGTGAAAGGGTTAAGGAGCTAAGGAGGAGCTAACTCCAATAGATTCAGTGTCTACAATCACTACTTTCATTCCATTTCCAGATTATAGTTTCTGCTTTGGAAAGTTTCATCTTCGGGCCTATTTCTTGGAATTCTTGGCATAGGATGTTTATTCGTAATTGGAACCTGTAAGCATATATTATTATTATTATATGTTTCCTTATCTTTTTTGATGATTCTCGTGCTAACACAGCTATCAAAGGTTCCATCTACCCAATTTCGCTCATAAAGGCTTGGGTCAACCCGTGGTATGACACAGATATCAACGGCACCCAAGTGTTCCGTCTACCCAATTTTACTGAGTAGGCTTGGGTCAACCCGTGGTATGACACAGATATCAACGGCACCCAAGGGTTCCGTCTACCCAATTTTAGTGAGTAGGCTTGGGTCAACCCGTGGTATGACACAGATATCAACGGCACCCAAGGGTTCCGTCTACCCAATTTCACTGAGTAGGCTTGGGTCAACATGTGGTATGACACAGATATCAACGGCACACAAAGGTTCCGTCTACCCAATTTTAGTGAGTAGGCTTGGGTCAACATATGGTATGACACAGATATCAACGGCACCCAAGGGTTCCGTCTACCCAATTTCACTGAGTAGGCTTGGGTCAACCCGTGGTATGACACAGATATCAACGGCACCCAAGGGTTCCGTCTACCCAATTTTACTGAGTAGGCTTGGGTCAACATGTGGTATCACACAGATATCAACGGCACCCAAGGTTTCCGTCTACCCAATTTTACTGAGTAGGCTTGGGTCAACATGTGGTATGGTTGTCAGGCACTTTCCAAAGGTGCCGCACGATGGGCTCGACCCCTCCACAGCAATAACATCGGGAAGTCTCCTTTCTGACAAGGTCGAACTCGTGTCTCATGTTAAGAATGCGGACGTTCTAACCACTCGGCCACCATAAGCATTTCCAGTATTACTAGTTTAATCACTGTGACTTAATTTGACTGATGGATTCTTAAGGCTTCCATAGTTTTTCGCATTCAATTATGTAGGAAAGCGTTATAATTTTAGTGTGTCAGGCTTTACACTAGCCGATATCATATTAATATACTTGGAAAATATTCGTTTATTTATACTTGAATAACGAACAAAAGGGAGCATGGATTGAGGAATCGGATAGCCGTGTTCGAATTCCTGTCGAGTTTGTTGCGTTCACTTACATGCTAATACTTCTGGGAAAATACGAAGACAGAATATAGCCTTGGTTGGCAATCAGACATAAAGAGTAAAAAATAATTAAATTCAAACCACGTGCTACCTTCTATATTTTGACACTTTTGGTAAAGTCTAGAAGAACCTAACTAGCAAAATAAACCACCTCCCTTGGCGTCTCGTAGAAAGGAACTGCTTCCAGTATTTTGGACTGTGACAGAAAATAAGGGACTCTTCGTCCATCAGTACAACAGGCGTATCACCTACGGACCTTAAGACGACAAACGAAGAAAAGACGACTGATGCAATATCGGTTCTCATTTATAACAGTGAATACTGAATCATCTCATAAGAGATGAAGATGTAACTTGAGACAACAGAAATTTAGTGCCACAGAAAGATGCTGAGTATACCATTGACTGACAACGTGATCGACATCAAAACATTAGAGATAATAAAAAGAAACACTTATACATAGCATGAAAAAGAAATATTTGACATTTCTATAGCACATCATGCGTAAATAATGCTTGGAAAATTTTGCCCTAACCGGATATATTGAAGGCAAGCGGGAAACAGCGTCTAGTTTTGCTAAAACCTTGTGAAAATTATTGGAAGAATAAGGATTTTGACATATAACCAAAAGACATGTTACAAATAGATAGTTGTGGAGAGGTATGTTGAGTCACGTCTTAAACTGACATGACACATAAATAAAGAAGGCAAAGATGAAGAGACACCATTCAATTTTCTTCATGAATTTAGAAGACAAATCTTATGTTTTCGTTGTAGAGACTTTCTAATCTGCTAACGTTAACCATGTTGCACTGAGATTTTTACTGATCAGTTACCAGATACATGTAAGGAACTTTAATTTCCGTGACCTCATATGTGTTTTCTATCTATTGTTGTATTTCATTTCATAGCAGACGATGTGTTTCTTTCTCTACCAAGATATGTATTACGTTATATATTTGCTTTTTATCGGCTGTAAGGTTTTCCGGTACAGTTGAGGAGCTTGCATTATATGCGGTAATGCACAAATTGTTAAGAAGGTAAAATAAAGATGTGTCTTCTCACCTGACTTATTCAACTATACAGTAAGGCGATTTAGAGAGAATTAGAAGTCCCACAAGGATTTATTATTGGCGGCTGTAATCTTAACAACATAGGATGTGAAGATGACACAGTAAAGCGAAATAGAGGAAATCCTACAGAATGTAGTAAAATGCAAGAAGAAAAGATTAAATAGTAATTCCAAGAAGAGAGAATGCATAGTTGTCAACAAAAGGAACATCACCACATTCAAATTACCAATTCGAGATTGCAAAATCAGGCAAAAAATTGAACACTATTTATATTATTCGGATAATTTTCTTCATCGTTTTTGCAATATTTATCACAAAGTTTAGGCCGTCGTACGCTCCGTGCATCTTCAGGTGTTTGAAATGCCAAACTGAACCCTTTATTTCGCTCGCTGGGGTAGACTGTTCTAGTTCCACGTGCCATGTCTAATGGATGTCAGTTATCATTTATCCCTTCACATGGCCTAGTGGATAAAGCCGTTGGTTAGATCCAGTGACAGGGACCAAAGAGTGTGAGTTCAATACCTGGGTAAAGCAGTGGAGAACCTGGAGAGGTGAATTAACAGGGAGATAACTGATAACTAACATCCATTAGACATGGCACGTGGAATTAGAACAACGGCCGAAAGACTGTGATAAATATGGCAACAAAGATGAGGACAATAGTTCGAATAATGTAAACAGTGTACATAATCGTACATTAGGCACAAATTGTATGGTATTTATTTTTTTTTATTTTATAATATTACATTTATATCCTGTTGAATTGCGGCTTTTCGAGAGTTTTAATTTTTAGTCTCCAGAGAGCAGTCAATTACTCTCTTACATATAAGAGCATACTTTTCAAGCTAGGACGCCATATTGATACACTAAAAAAACACAAGAATAAAATTTACACACACACACACACACACACAAACACACAAACACACACACACACACAGGCGGGTATGCAATGTAGTTGGGTCTGCCCTGGCGTCTCGTCTACAATCTCTTTCTCACAGACGCGCCGTCGCCTCCCTCTGTCTGTTCCACAAATACTTGCATGGAAATTGCTCCGAGGAGCTGCATTCGGTGATTCCCAGACGTCATGAGTTCCAGCGCCTTACGAGGCTGGCATCCCGCTCTCACCCCTTCACTGTTGAAACTACTAAATACAGTCGTCTCTTCTACTCTAATAGCTTCATGTCTCGCACCTCTCCCCTGTGGAACTCTCTTCCCTTCTCCTGTTTCCCTGTGAGCTATAATCTCCAGCTATTCAAGTGTAATGTCAAACTTCCCTTTCTTCGTACTGTGCACTGATGGTCTAAGGTATAATATATATATATATATATATATATATATATATATATATATATATATATATATATATGTTATCAATCAATCGTTTTTTTTTTTAGTAAAATATTTCCATATAAATACCATATTCTATGATCAACATTAATTTAATTAAATAATACAATGTCTACTTAAGGAACATCATAATGCCAACTAATATTGGTAGAGCATTGAATTATCTTTTAAGATAATAAGGATAAGTTACATGTTATTCAATTTTATATCCACCATTATTAGAGATTACATATTTCCACTTATCATCCAGCTCTAAGACACATTTCGATTAAAATCCAGCAGGGATTGTTATGAAAATCGACGACTACTTGAAACTGGGTGTTACTACAAGACGGAAAGTGCAACAGGGAAATCCGAAGACATGTTGGGATAGCGGAAGCTATATCGTTAGGAAGAAAGAAAAGCGTACTGAACTGTGATGTAATATAAGTCCTCCAATATGGCAATGAATAATGGACACTCCCATCAGAGACGAAGAAAAGACTTGAAGCAACAGAAAGGTGTTTCTACAGGAAGTTGCTGGAAATACCATGGGGCGAACATATGAGCAACGACAAAGTTTAGAGACAATGGTAACAAAATACACACATATTTAACACCAACAGGAGACAGTTGAAGATTTTGGGGCACATAATGAGGAACGAGGGCTTGGAAACTTGATAATCCTAGGAAAGAATAAGAGGAATAGAGACAAGGTAAGCATAACTTACCTGACATGCTTGAGTGAATGAATGACAAAGCAGGATTTTGGAGGGATGGCAAGAGCAGCAAATGGCTGAAAATTGTAGAGATATACGAAGTCATGAAAGTATACAAGAAGGATAAGGAAGAAGAATGTAGAAGAAGAAGAAGAAGAAGGGAGATGAAGCAAAAGAAGAAGAAGGAGGATGATGAGGAGGAAGAAGAAGAAGAAGGAAGAAGAAAGAAGGAGGAGGAGGAACAGGGAAGAAGAAGACGAAGGAGGAGAAGGTTGCGGAAGTAGAAGAAGGATGAGGGGGGGAGAAAAGGGAAGGAGGAGGAGGAAGAAGAAAAGGGAAGAAGGAGGCGGAGGAAGAGGAAGAGGAAGAAAACGGAAGAAAGAGGGGGAAAAGAAGAAGAAGAAGAAGAAGAAGGAGGAGGAGGAGAAAGAGAAAGAAGAAGATGCAGGAGGAGGAAGAAGACGACGATGTAGTAGTAGTAGTAGTAGTAGTAAGAGGTGAATGAAGAGGAGGAAGAACAACAACAACAACAAGGAGGAAGAGAAGGAAGAAGAGAGAAGAAGAAGGGGAGTAGGAAGAAAATGCAGGATGAGGAAGAAGAAGATGACAAAGAAGTAATAGTAGTAGTAGTAAGAGGTGATAAAGGAAGAGGAGGAAGAAGAAGATGCAGGAGGAGGAGGAAGAAGAAGACTCATCTTTTAAATCATTTGGAGTAATGAAAGACATAATATTGTGGCGAGGCATGATTGCAATGGTTCTAAAAGATATTTGGTGGGAAAGTAAACTAAGACATTAATTGGTTTTAGTTTATGAAAGGTTCATGTATTTCAACTTAGTGTAGTCCAATAGTTCTACAACTTATAAATACGTGATTGATAAAGAAAGAGATAATCAAATAACTAAATCTTTCTTACAAGAACCAAAGTCGTAGTTATGTAAAAGCTACAAACATATCATCCCTGAAGGAAGAAGTGAAAACACAGGAATGTTAGCAAAACGAAGTATAAAAAAAGAATATTAACACTATAGTCTAAGAAAATGCGCATCAGATTTAAAGTGCAACTTTAAGGCTTCAACGCTGCTTTTCCAAACGTGAAGTTATTCTGAAAAAAACGACCTTTGAAAACTTAACCCTTTATATTGCTGTCGCGAGATGGCCTGGGGAAGAAAATGTAAGCATGCTGCTGAAAAACATTTACAGATATGATCTAAGAGAAATATACAAGTATATTTTAGGAAGCCAATTTATAATTTTTATGTATCAGGCACTGCCTTTTGTTTGTGACTGCGATTTAGTCGTACATTTGCCTTTGTATTTCATATCTATCTCCCTCACAAATATATATATATATATATATATATATATATATATATATATATCTATATCTTACCTATATATATATATATATATATATAGCACCACACTCATATATATATATATATATATATATATATATATATATATATATGGTATATGTGTATTATGAATTTTATATATTACTAATTCAATCTACTCATATCTGTATATCTATATATCTATGTTAGATATTGTATAAACACATCTTGCTCTCTTTCTGTTTGTCTATGTTAGTGTGTAAACACGTTAATGTCCTCGTAATAACGTTTTTAATAAGTTGATATCAGAAACATCTTGATGGAAAAATAATAATTTAAATCTCAGTAATTATTTATATCTAAACTAAGATTATATACCCGTGCTTAAACATAAATTCACACGCACACAGACACGTACTGACACCCCACAAACACACACACACACACACACACACCTATATATATATATATATATATATATATATATATATATATATATATATATATATATATATGTGTGTGTTTGTTTGTGTGTGTGTTTGTGTGTGTGTATTTAACAAACAATCATGCACATTTCATTGGATACGACAGACAATTTTTTTTTTATTTCATTTTCTATACAATTTCTCATGCGATCTAATAATTATTTTCTCTTTTTGGATGATAAATTATACAAAAACTGTCCTAATGTTCTTTTAATCCGAGCACTTTCAAGGATTAAATATTTTTAAAATTGTGGGAGCCTTATTAATAAAAACGAAAAAAAAAACACTTATTATAATATTATCTTTGAACATGGACACAAAATCTTGACCGTGTTTTGAAAAATGAAAACATATTATAAAACATACATACAACAGACTATTTCTTATTTAAGAGTTAATATGTTTAATCCTTGAATATGGCTCGGAAAAAAAGAATATTAGGATAGTTTTTTATATAATTTATCATTCGTAAAGAAAAGAAAATATTAGATCGCATGAGAAATTATTTGACTCTTCATGACTGACTCTGTTTTGACACGAATTAGATCAGATCAGATCAGACTAAATGTATTACTGCTATATGTAGACGATAAATCCCTTACCTCAATTTCCATCCTGACTTCAAATGCGCTACTCGTCCTTGTGGGCGATTAATTATTTTCCACATTATAACAACTTTAATATATAAATTATAACCAGACTATTTCTATCAGAGTTTCAATGAAAATGATGTACATGATTTAGTTCAATCATTTCAGACATTTATATCTTTGATTCGACATGCCACATACACAGAGTTGAATCCTCTAAAGTTCCTCTGTACTTCATTAGCAAAATAAAAATACCATTAAGCCTGTTTCTTTCTGTGAAACGCTACATTATGAAACACTCCACTAAGAAGATGCTTACTCAACCAGTTCAGTCTTAACATCTCCAAGTCTAGCTATAACCGTTATCCTTCCTAGATATTATCATAATCTACGCTTCATATTTTCTCTTCTTTTAAAAACATCTAATTCAGTAATGCTGTATCTTGTTTTCAAAATGAAACTTGTAAAAGAATTAAAAAATAGCCAAGTATTCACTGACATACGGACAGACAGATATGCCATAAAAGTTAAGCATTCATTTGTTTGCTTCTAAGAGAATGACTGTATGCCCTTTTGGTGTCTACAGCGGCGGCTTTGAGATACTGGAGAAAATGGCGCACAAGATCTTTCATACTTCAACATCCCGCAACTATGTTTTTAGCTTAGTAAAACTTGTCTTATACAAATCCACATAAATGTTTAAATTTGAATCAGGGTAGCACAATGTATATGTAGAAGTGGATTTAGGGAAAAATGTATGTATCCCAATTCCAGGGTGAGTGTAAATATATATATAAACATTTTTGTCAATACATGCTTGTTTTTGTAAATGTCTGGCTGTGTTTGCGTGATAGTAGAATTTAAGTGTAGCCGGATTCTTAAATGGCTTCTATGCATTAATACCATGCTGTTTGAGAGAATACTTTTAAAGAAATAAAATAAAGAAGAAAAGAAATTGCCTGAGTCATTTTAACGATTTTGAAAGAGTAGAAGAGGTTTCATTTAATGCACGTTTAGAGAATGCCATAAAAGTAATTTTTCCTTCGATCGGAAAAGTTCCTGACGTGTCGGATGTAACGTTGAGGTACAAAAACCCTCTCAGCCGGTTAAAATTTGGTTGTCTATTCAATATTTTCAGAAATTACAACTTAAAGACTAAAATGAAAACATCGCAAAATTTTCTTTACCCTCAGACAAAAAGAATCGTCGAAAGAATTTCGTAATTGATAACAAGTTGAAGTAAAATCAATATATGAAATATGTATTACAATTACACATAGACACAAATATATATATATATATATATATATATATATATATATATATATATATATATATATATATATATATATATATATAAAAATATATGAAAAAAAAAAAAAAAAAAAATCATTATATACAATTATGCTGTTTTAATGTTAATATGTCAAACGTCGGACGTTTTGTTCTAATAAACCATCTTCAGGACATATTATTGATAATGTTATATTTATGAATATGTCCTGAAGATGGTTTATAAGACCGAAACGTCCGACGTATGACATATTAACATTAAAACAGCATAATTGTATATAAGATTTTTGTTTGTTTTTTTCCGTATATATTTTTCTTCATACTGTCTGATCTATATCCATATATTTGTTTATTATATATATATATATATATATATATATATATATATATATATATATATATATATATATTCATGAATTATTCACACAAAAACAAATGCAAAGGTTAATGATTTAATTGGCGAGAAATCCATCGTCGCAAACAATTCAAATAATATGCAAAACCCTCCGAATCCGTTATGAATGAAAAGATCCTTGTTTCTATAAATTTCTGCCGCATTAGTTCTTATTTTTACTACAAGCTTTCGTCTGTTCCTACAGACATCTTCAGGTATGGAATAGATGTTGTTCTTGTTTTTTCTCTTAGTAATAAGAGGACAACGAAAATATATGTATTGTTGTATCCGAAAATGCTATTGTTTTTGGAGCGTGCAATAGCAACGCTGAGTTTGATTTTAAATTTTTTACAGTTGTGCGTTCATGTACAAATATGGTGATAAACGAATTTTTTACTGGTAAATTTTCTGTCAAAGTGGCATGAACTATATTCTTCAATAATTACAGTAATCGCACTTATTATCCAAAAGTCGAACTTGGATCAGTTATTTTAATTTCGATAAACGTGCAATCAATTTACAAATTCATGAATTATTCACACAAAAACAAATGCAAAGGTTAATGATTTAATTGGCGAGAAATCCATCGTCGCAAACAATTCAAATGATATACAAAAACCTCCGAATCCGTTATGAATGAAAAGATCCTTGTTTCTATAAATTTCTATAAATATATATAAATGGTGATACTCGCTTGTAAAATTCTTGGATAGTTCATTTTGAAGTAGAACAAACCAGTACCCAAGGAAAAATGAGGAATAAAAAAAAAGAAAGAACCAAGAACATGAAACTTAGGCGAAATCTATCGTCCAGTGTTCAAGCTCAAAGACCAAATAAAAAACCTCCAAAACTAGTAAAAGCAACTCCATAAAGTGCTCAATAGACGAAGTAGAGCAAACGTAAGATAAACCTAACGAGCCAGGCAAACCTACATAGGTTTCACCTAAACGGTTCGTCAGGGCAGTGCTGGCCGAAAAGTAAAATAATGGAACAGAATATATAGCTTGAATCTCAAATCGGAAATTCTCAGTAGGTGTAGACATAAGAATTTTTTTGTCATGTGGTCATGGTTGCTTTTGATTTAAGCTATATATTCTGTTCCATTATTTTACTTTGCTCCCAGTATTTCCGTGACGATCAGTTTAGATGGAACCTATGTAGGTTTTCCTGACCTCATCAAACTTATCATATATAATATATATATATATATATATATATATATATATATATATATATATATATATATATATATATATTTGGTTACGCTTTGTGAGTTTGTGACCCTGGGTTTCACGCTTTAGCGATAGTCATATATACACTTTTTCACATATACATATTTATACATATATATATATATATATATATATATATATATATATATATATATATAGGATAATATGTATATATATATATATATATATATATATATATATATATATATATATATATATATATATATATATATATATATATAGGATATATATATGTATATATATATATATATAATATATATATATATATATATATATATATATATATTGAGGCGGAATGGTGATCTTGAAAAATTTCAGTTGTCTGTTTTGGTTAGTCTTACTTTTATGGCCATCGTCTTTTCATGTTGAATTAAATATAGTCTAATGTTAATTA